TTTAAAAAATTAAACAACATTTTCAAAATAAAAAAAAATAAAAAAACATAATACGACATTTTGAATTTACGGAAGTCTCTTGGATGAGGTAACCCATGGTTGCTAACAAGATCTCCCTAGTTTAAATGAGCTTAACAACTAGTTTAGACTAAGTAAATTCAAAAGAAAATAGTGGTACCAGAATGAGGGAACCGTGAAATTCTAACCGGTGTCGCTTAATCAACTTTAATCCACCCATAATGCTTGAATAACAACAAAACCAAAATTTTGGAACACACTTGGTAAAACCTTTTGAACCTTATACTTAAAAGACTGCTATTTCGACGAGGAGCTTGGAGTATACGTCGTGGGCAGCACGAAAAGGACCTGCAAAAGACATCTTTAAGAGAGTAAATGAGTCTACAACAACAAATCTTTTTTTAGTTTAAACAAGTCATAGGACTTTGAGGTAGTCTGTCTAGCACGACGTAAATCATCAACTTATCTTTAGACTCCTGCACAGTCATGCTGAGCAGTATAAGTCCTAACTTAACTTAGTAGTTCGAGGTTGTCGTTCGGTACGACGTAAACCCTCATATCTCTGCGGACTATCTGCATAATCATATATTATGCAAATTTAAGTCCTAAATAATAAAATTGACTAGATTGAACACTCGAATAACATCATCTTCAAAACGCAGTCACGCAGTAGGATAGTTTAGGAAGTCACTAATGGTTCTCCTCAGGATTCGTGACGTCCCCCACATTATTTTTCCTTTTGACTCCTCAAACTAACTGTTTCTATTTGAGCTACTCCCACTTCTTTTTCCACGTTCTATCGTGAAAATATAAACCTCGAATTCTTGAACAGTGTACCTCTGATCATTATCGAGAGTTTTATCGAGAGTTTTCTCAAGTGATCTCAAGTGATCCCCGTCATTTGGGATGTAATTAACTATAGGGGTTTGTTTCCGTTGGGAACTTGAAACCCATGTAAAATAAACCTTATTTAATTTTTATATTAAATTGGAGAACTTGTCAGTCACACATAAAATGTTCGCAGACCAAACATATGTCACAAATAACCGATATATACACTTTTCTTTCGAGAAGGTGTAGTATTCGCGGTATCGGGCACAATTATGCAAATTATTAGACTAATTAGATCCATTTGGTCTTATTTTTCAAAAATTAAAACACACTACTTTAAAAACCCAAACTATATATCTATTATATTAAATTAAATTTAAAAATTATTTTCAAATAAAAAAGTTAACCGACAGTAAGTTTAGTTTGTGGATTAATTATAGGGATAATTACATACATAGCATGTGAAAGATTGGTATTAACAAAATCTAGCACCTAGGTGATGTTTTGAACTACTGAACCACTGTATTTATGAATGCCACGATCAAACCATTTAGAAATTTGATAAAAATGAAAAATATGGGTTGGGTTTTATTGTGAATTTTGATTTTTGAGCGAGAGTTTGAAAAATGGTGCTAATTTTGTAAATAACAATGTTTCAGGTGCTGTGTATCTAAACAACCCCTAATTATATTAATTTTGCATTGTCTAGTTAAGGCAATCGCTTGAATTGCTGACCATTAAATTTAAATTTAAATTTAAGGTATCTAACTTATCTAATTGCTTGATCATCTTACGCCACACACACACACACACACACACACACACACACACACACACACACACAAAAATATATATCGACCGAAGGAGGAAGTCTCCGCCTCTGCAGCTAGCACTAACGTGTTGGCAGAGGATCGTTCCGTTTTCGGCGATCGTCGACAACAACGTGAGCTTCTACGATGAGCGTCGACCTCGTCGAGTTGCATTTCGCGGCTTCTGCGTCGGCGTCCAGCTCCGCTATCTGCATCAGTGCTTCTTCAGTCCGATCTTCTGCTTTGTTTCTGTGCCTTTCTTTTCGGTCTGACGCAAATTTCTCGCTGCAGGTGAAAGCTGGTTGTTCTGATGACACTTTTTTCTTTTACTGAATTGGCAAAGGCTTCTTTGCCCACGTGGTGGGAAACCCTCAGGTGGAATCTGCAATGGTATTCTCCTCAAACTATAAAGAATGTCGCGATGACACAAATGATTGTTCTTTTGTTAAGAAGAGAAGTAGGAAAGGTGGGAAAACAACAATATTTTTCTCTGACTCAGAAATTTCTACAATGACAGAAAAATTTAAGTTTGCTCTCATTAGAAAATTTCAGTGGGGACATCCACCTATGGATGTTATCAGAAAGAGCGTAAATGATTTTAAGCCAGTTGACAAGTGGAAGGTGGGACTTATGGATGAGAGATATGTGTTGATCCAACTAACAATCTAACAATGACTGAAGACTAACAACTAACAATGACTGAAGACTAAACCAGAATTTTCTCCAAGAAATATCTTAATATCACAAGAAAAGTTATGAAGTTACTCAAGTATTTCGACCTTTTCGACCTAAATCATGAAACTTCCACTGTACCGATATGATTTAGTTTACCAGGTCTCAAGTTGCTTTTTTTTCACCATTAGGTTCTCTACTCTATTGGGGCCATTCTAGGAGATTCTTTGAAGCTAGATCTGCCTATTTTCAACCTAATTAGACCCTCAGTGGCCAGAATACTTGTGGAAATGGATATTACTTTACCGGATGTTACTGAAGTCTGGTTAGACACAACCCACAATGAATATTGACAACAAATCGTCCTGGAACACAGTAAGATGTTTGGTCGTATCGTTGATAAATGCTACAAGCTCCATCCTAATTTGAAAATTAAGGTTCAAGTGAATAAGGATGGGTCTAACCTCACTGCTCTGGACATTTTAGTTCCACCTGGGGAAGATACTACAAAACATGTGGTGTCTGTTGCTTCTGAGGACCCCCTAGGAAATCCCCCATGACACTCCTATTACTGTTACTGCGAGGGATGTGATGTTGACACCTTCAAATCCCATCAACAATATTGATGGACTATTACCTACAAATGAAAGTGTTCAGACTGATAATCAGGAGAGCCTCGCAGCTCCACTTCTTCAGGAAGTATTCGGTGTAGAGGCAACTCATACTTCACATATGCTAGAACCTATTGTGGGTACTATGGTTGATATTACTTCTGCTTCAGCTCTACCACCCCATCAGACTGATTCTTCGGAAGAGGAATGACAGGTCTATTCCAGGAGGAATAAGAAGAATGGATGCAGACTCCAGCTCGGGAGCATATTGGATGATACATTGGTTACTTCTGGCAATGACAATCATCTTACCA